GTTACTCCTGAGGAAACAGAACTTAAATACCAGAAGGCATAATTCATAATACATTATATATGGCATTCACATGGATGCAAATGAAACAGGAGCTGGTGTGATTCTCGGGAATGTCCTGTGCAGGGCCAAGAGTTGGACTCGATGATCCTCGTGGGTCCCTTCCAACGCCGAATATTCTGCGATTCTGAGTCCTGGGTGCAGGTGCACGATGTAACCAACCAGCACATTTCTGCTAAAGTAGGCGCAGGATTGTTCAGGCTCTTTCCTGGTTTCATCACCACATTCTGACCTAGAAACTTCCGTTAACTTTTTTTTTTTTTTTTTAATACTTCAGAGGTGACGCAAAGCCCATAAATGAGACCCTAGATGTCACCAGTACCACCTTCTTTGGCCTAAACGGTATCTGACTCGGGGAAGTGCGAGTAGGAATTCATTCATTCGCTTCACTTTCAATATGGATTTTATGGATTTTTGTCATGTTCTACAAAGATACATGTAAAAACGTTTTTTGTTTTTAAAGGGATGTGACTTCACTATATTGATGAGAATAATAGATTCTATTGGGCAGTTTTTATAGCTGGGACTTGGGAACTTAACTATCTGGGAGGATAAAAGGTAAAATGGCAATTTTTGTATCCAGTCAAATGAATAGCATGATGTTGATTGATTATCCATGGAGTTGCAGAAGAAAGTCTTAATCAATTCAGCTTCCCTGCTTACTGTGTACAGATGAGGTACCGATTCCTGTGTTGGTTTGTCAAGTTCCCTGCTCTGTAAAATGGGTGGATTCAGGTATTGGTCTGATTGATATTTGCTGTCCTAACTAGGGGTTCTGATGTATAAATGTGTTTAAAAAATGAATTATTTGCCCTATTAATATGCTTTTGCAACTTTGGAGCCACATATAATTTGACTTTAAGCTAACTTGCCAGTTAGGTGCTAGAGAAGGGAACTATCTGCTGTGCTGTGTGGTGGGAGCAGTTAAGCAGTTTCTGGTCTCTGTGTACACTCGTACTTTTCAATACAACAAAACCAACCCAAACTGGACATTCAGTTGATTCAGTGCTTCTCTCTTGTGCAATTTTAGTTACAAACTAAGACAGAAACTATTAGCAAAACTGTGGGATCTACTGACTTCAAAGGAGTTTGCTGTTAGCTGGAGCAAAGGCAGAGTTTCACCATGTCACTATAAATGCTGTAAGGGACTATACTTAGCAATGACCTAAGGTCTTTCTAGAGATACTGACTTCATGTTTCCAGCTTCCCACAGGCTCATGCACTGCTTTTTCAAATGCACAGGAAGCACCTCGTGCTCCTGTCCGGGTTCTGAATATCAGCATTTAAAAGGCAACTAGTAAATACCAGGCATCGCAGAATGACATGCTTTGCCTTGGTGGGTGACAGAATGTGAGACCTGCTAGGTGACCCTTTGCTTAGTTTGGGGTATAGATCACTACCCTGAACTGCTAATGCATCAGTCTCTCTGGCTTGTTGGTATGTTATGGACTTTCTTGTTTCAAGAAGCCTTTGCCTCAGCCGCAGATACACAGCTCATTGGTACAACCAGTCGCTGAGATCAACTGGTTTTTAGGGATGCTGTGGTTAGATTACCTATTTGTCTGTAATGTAGCACAACTCTGCAACAGACTTGATTTTATTAGACTGGTACTGACTTTTCTTAGTCTTCTAACACAGCTGCCAATTCAGAGCATTAAAAGAAACAAGAAATCAAGATGCATGCTACATGTGCTGAAAAAAGAAAAGGGAATTGGTTTGATACACAAATTTCCAGAAAAATCCATGAATATCTGAGGATTTTAATGGATTTGTTCTGGTCTCTTCCTTGGTGTCAAACTGGCTGGCCTCTAATTCCCCAGGTCTCTCTTCCTCTGGCCTTAAGGACAAAGTACCACCTAGTCCTGTGTGGTCTCTTTCATGAATTTATAGGGGACAAGGAAACTCAAAAAAATCCCTTGGTCTGTTACTTAAGTAGTATAGTTGGAATTTCAGCAGACTTAGCAGAATTGTATGTATTTGGTTTACCTGGATATTACTTAGATATTTCTCTACTTTTTTACAAAAATATTAATACTACATTCTTTTCCCGAAGTGTTGGAGACTTGCTATCCTTATTACAATTGCCTCTATTTTCCCTTTTTTCACGCACTTTGTAATTTGCAGATGATTCTATTTCACCCCTTAAATACTTAGACCCTTTAACTATCCAGAATTTCTTTACATTTAGTAAGACTACACTAACCAGCTGGTGTGTTATTAGGCTAGTTTTTATAGAAAAAGACTATTAAAGCACAGTACTTCCTATTTCTGACAGTTCTCACAGGTATCTGGCACCAAGCAGTGCTTCACTGATGTCCTGAATCCCAGACTGGGTCACCCAGCAAAAAGAAAGGGCAAATCACACAACATTTGATTGTGTACTCCAGTATTTGGTTATCAGGCTGTAACAAGAGATGCATGTGGTGGGTTTAAGCTATTTTAGCAAAAGAGGAGAACATTTACCTCAGTGATACTAAATTAGGCTTTGTCCAGATTGAAATGTCTCCCAGCATTGACAATGTTTATACTGACAAAGGAGTTTCTGATGGAGTCCCTGGTCTTAACCTTCCTGTTGACATAACACTTTCAGCTAGACACTTAATTGTTTAGAGGTGCTGGTGGTTTTGCATTTTCCAGCCCAGCTACTGTAAAGACAAAACCGAGCATGAATCAGGCTGAGGGAAATGGGTTACTCCTGTCCAAACAGAGGCTGGTGTTGTGCTGGACTCCTCAGAGGCAGAAATATGCCACGTGCAGCATTTGGTAGGAGGCAGCCTGGCAAGGGCAGCCAGTGTGACACGGTGAAGCAGGACCAAAGAGATGCTCAGGGGCACTAGCAGTAACTGTCTTACCAGCCAGTGGTTAAAAACCAAACCCACAACAGAAACACAATCAATCCTTCCCCTCCCAAAACCCCAGAAGCTGCTGCTTGCAGACGTTGATTCTTTGTTGCAGATTTTGCCAGACAGAGATGTCCCAAATTTAAGATGTTCCCCTCAAATCAGTGTTTTCCTTAAATCATATTCCTATGCTGTTACATTACAGGGGAGTTCTTGCTTTGCCTTTGTTGAAGGATTAGGGTGCAGGAACTTTTGCCAGGTATAATGGGTTTTTACCATTGTGTATTTTACCTTTCTGGAGTGAAGGGTTGCTCTGGCAAGAGAAAAACAATCTCGAATTAGCACACTCCATGCCGAAACTCCATCAATTGTTTTAGGGATGACACAGAAGTGCACCAGCTGAGAGCAGTGTGGGCAATGCTAGTTGCCCATATATATAACTGGTGTATGCTTGATGGTGAGGGGGAAAATAATCTCTGTATAAGGCAAAAACTATTTGCATATAAGCCTGAGGAGTTAAGCACTTTGCAATACTTGAGTAATATGTTATATATGTTTTGAGAAATGATGGTGGAAACAGTTGAGTACTCCAAGCAAAATTTATTAGAAGTCTATTCAAGAAAAAAACCCACAGAGACCTTTTGCTTGTAGGAATTCAAAGTCAGTTACCTGAAAGCCAGGTATGAAAAACCTGCATATTTCTAAAATCAGATACAGAGTAGAAACAGTACTTTTTAAATATCACAGGCAACAGATATTTAAGTCTTCAATCATAAATGGCATCAAAGATAGGTATTAATCTCACAGCAAAGCTGCATGCAGATCTAGTTTAAAATTGAAAGCCTTTGAATATAAAGCTTTTGCCATGAAATCTGCAATAATAAAGGTATGCTGCACAAAGATGTTTCTTTACCTTTGTCTTAATGACATTTCTCAGTAATAAAGACATATGTACATTTAGATTTGGCTGGTAAACCATATTTTAATTAATAAAATTTTGCATAAAATGCTATCTTACAGAATTGCACTATCCAGGTGTGCTTATGGTAAACAGAGCAAGAAAAGAAAAATGCATTGAAATGTTCTGTATGTGAAGAGGGCAAAGATCAAATAAGGAACTTAATTTTTTAAAAATCAACAACCAAATGGCTCTGTACAAAAAAGCAAACATATGTACAAAATGCTACAGAGACTACATACATTTTGATAATTTCGATCCTTTACCCATGAGAAATGCAGCAGAAGCTTTTGCCATCTATAAGGTGCTGAAGAATCCAAATCTGAGTATTTTTTTTTAATAAAGCCATAGTCATTATCATCCTGTGCCTTAATTTCATTTGCTATTTATGCTTACCTTTGCTTATGGAAAATGTATGCTTTCAAATACTTGTTTCATTCAGAAAAAGAAAAACCCACCTCTAAATTGTATTGGTTTTGATACTTGTGACTTTTTTCTGTCTAAATTCCTAAAAAGAATGTGTAACTCGGGTTTCATAAACATACATACACATATATAGTGAAGTAAATCAGTACATGATACTTGTGAATATTTTTCAGGTGGCTATGTTAGGAAAAAACCCCAATACCCAACAATCCTTTGCACTAACACTGTTTACTTCCTGCTTCTTAAAATTCCTGATACATAAAAACACTAACCTCTCACATTTCGTGTTGCTTACTAGTACAACATTTTGATTACAACCATTTAATGTCAGACATCAGTAGCAGGTTATTATTATCTATGCTTATATCATTGTCTGTATCTTCCTTAAATCCTCTTTCCCAAGTCTTTATGCCTTTTACACACATAACATTTTAACAGAAAACACTACAGGTTCAGTAGGGAAAAAAAGAAATAAGGTTTAGCCAATACCATTGCACCCGTTCAGAACACTTGCAGTTCTTCCATTTTTCACTATGCTTGCTTCAGATTTTACAATCACTGTGCATATGTTACAGCATACAAGTGCAGGCAAAAAATCTATATTATAGTTTGTCATACATTGTAAACCAGTACAATAGGCAAACCCGTGATACGGCAAAGTGGAAGCAACAAATGCTGCCAAGCTAATAAGAATGTGGAAACTCAAACAATTTCTTTTAAAATAGTAAACAGCAACCTTCCCCTGTATTACATGCATGCTGAAAAAAATCCCACCAGACTTCATGGTAGTACCACAAATGTTCAAACCAAGAAGAGTTTCTCCCTGCTCCCCTTCCCGCCCCGAGTGGCAATTCATCTGTGTACCTGTCATCAGGCTTTTCCTAGTGTGTTTCACATGAAAAGACTTTAAAGCAGGGAGTGTTTAAATGTTGAAATGTTTCCTCTTGTTTCAGGAAAGCTCAGTTATTCACAGTGTGGTCGTTGCTGTAATACTGCTGGAACGGTTTGGCAGGTGGGATGGGATGAGGATGAACTAGATGGCCTCTAGTAAATAGAGACTGCAAGCAAGAAAACAGAAGGCCAGCATAGCATGTTTTCTAGCAGCTTTATGCAGATGTATTGCAGAGATGCAGCATAAATAAGTAGAAAAAAAATTTCACAGCCTCTTGACATAGTTTCCAGGGAAAGTACCAAAGAATTTGGTTCTTCTTGAGGTTCCTGAAATTAGAAGCAATAGATGAAAGATGGGAATAACAACAGAAAATCACTATGTAAGCATGGCCTGAAAGTTTTTATGTTTACTATTTTACAGACAGAAACATCTACAGTTCCTTATAATACATCTTTGAAAAACAATTTTAATTTAATTTATAAGTTTTAACAAAGTTTAACTGCAGGAGGCAAAAAGCAAATGAAGAGGCATATTTGATTAAATTGTTAGGTCTGATTAAAGGCTGTGCTAAAAATCTTGGTACATAGACATAATTAAATTTCAAAACCATCAAGTCTATTTAGAGAATTTGAATTTTTGGAATGCTAAGGGCTAGTCAGATGTTTGTTAGCTACTGCATGATGAGGGTTTATGGAATGATTAAGCCACCTTATATAGGCCTGGTTATGAAACCTCTGTTCAGTAACGTTTGGTTCTTACAAGTAGTTAATTCTGTGCATGTAATCGTGTTGAGTAAGTTTTAAGTTACCTGGTCTTTATGAAGAGAGCAGTAATGCATAGTCCATTTTGTGTCACAAATGACAACAGTGCTGTACGCCAAACTGGAGGCACGTGTCATTTTGTGTCCATCAATTTCAAAAGACACAAGTGGAAAATCACTGCTAATTTCAGTGGATTTTGGTAGGGATTTCTCTTGATAGAGCCAGGTTTGAGTTTATTACACTGAATACCAAAAATTGTTTAAAAGACATAAAGCAAAGAGGGTAGCAAAGGGCAGGGGAAAAAAAATCAACCAAATTAAAACATACCCACAAACCATCCATCATCACATTTTTCCATCACATCAATGACATCTCCCTCTCTGAGCTCCAATTCATCTTCGTTCCTAGGAGTATAGTTATATAGAGCCTGAAACCTTAAATAGGACAAATGACGCATTTTAAAAAGAAGTAAGAGTTCCTTGCACCTTTGCTGAAGTAAAGGAACTGGTTTAAACATGAACTAACAAGTAACACTTCCTGCAATTAGAGGGGAAAAGGATTTATTTTGCCTGGTGCCCTTGTGGGTTAGGAACTTCTTATTGTAAATAAATAAAACTTCATTGGAAAGGTAACTCATCAGACACAAAGGACTGGGTTTCAAGGCAAACCTGATGGCTCCTCTACCAGTTGCTTTGAAAACAGAATTCTTTTTTTTTCTTTTAGTTTTAGTATTGTTTTACAGTTGAGTCACCAAAACAGAGGACTTCTAGAGGGCAGTCCTGTAACTAGCTAGCCCTGTAACCCTCCATGATCAGCATCTTAAACTGTGGTTCCTCCTTTAAGCTCTGTGAAACTGGTACCAACCAGCACAAGTGAGGTCAGTGTAGGAGGGTGCCCAGGACAGCAGGGGACACACAGTGTCACTGAGTGGGGCACCTGCCTGGGCTCCTTAGTCACAAGTGGTGAGACAAGCCTTCGCTCTGGATATGAAAGAGGTGCCTTCCTCTAGGGAGAAGGTGGAGCATAACTGCTATTTGGAAACAGACAGCTGTAACCTCTTCTGTGGTTAACACTTCCCCTGTTATCATACACAAAAAACATCTAAGAGTGTGGGAGAGGCTTGAATCAAATCAGGGGACATATGGATGGAAACTCAAACAGTATTCAGACCTGTGCCTCCAGCCCTGGTCAGGAGCTGCAGTTTGCAGGATGTAAGGTAGACAAATGGCAAGAGGTATGAGATCACTAAATTTATTATCTTTCATTCCTTGACAGCTTTTAATTGAGTTTTTTTGAATTGAAAGAATGGCAATAAACTCTCACTAGTGGGAACTGAATGCATTTGGGCTGACAGATTGCTGCACAAGCCTGTGAGTGCTGCAGAGTCAGAATCTGCCCTTTTTTTCTAAGCAACTGTGTCCCAGCTATGACTGATTATATAAAGAAGCAGGGTACAAATGCAGAAATTGTACAAAGGAAATAGTTTAAATTTCAAACTATTGAAGCGGAATATAATCATATCCATTTTCCCCTCTTAACAGCTGGTTCACTGGGTTTTAAACTTGAATGCCATTACGCTTCTCCTAGTAAAAACAAAATAGTTTGCCCTTTGATGTGTTGATACTGAATATTTCAACAAGCTCTGTATCATTTCAGTTTCCATGGCTTAAATGAGATGTTTATTTTAGTAAAAAGTTCCTGCTCCTGAAAGTCCAGTTTGAAAATCGCATCTACAAACTGGTGCTAGGTTTAGTTTAATGATGGTCATCTTGAATAAACTACACTTATTATTCAAATTGCTAGTTTGAAGAAAAAAGGAAGACACTGTTTCAGGGGAACAAAAAAGATTTTAACTTAATTTCTTGTGACTGGCAGTTATCTCCCCAAGCCTGAAAAGTCTATTTTTATCTTTTAATCGTACTAACAAAATGGAATGAGACTGGCTGTTTAAGCAATTACCTCTGGTAATTTGTGTAGCAGGAGTAAGAACAATCTGTGCAAAAAACTAAGTGGCAGTAACATTTTCTGTTATGCTTATCATCGTTCCAGGAAAGCAGAGCTATGATGATATTCCAAAAACTGATTACATGCAGCTTCCAAGGGGCACAGGACTTGCAGATGTAATGTGTGATGAATAGGATTCAAGCCAATTACTTAAGTACAGTACCAAGAACTTCCCAATTAGCACTCTTTGTACTTTAGAAATTGAATCTTAGGGATTTCTAGATAATTCATTTTAATAACTCCTTTGTAGTCATTTAATTTTCTCTAAGCAAATCTAAGACTTTCTTAAGTATGAAAAGCCTACTACCATTTAAACACTGACAGAATACATATTCAAGACTAGCAATTTAAATATATTTCTGTTTTTAATTTTAGGAATAAGTAACTTTAGTCATAAACTACTTAAACTATATTGAACAAAATGAATTTGATAATTAATGCTTACATAACTGGGCTAGGTGCTTCAGTATGCTCAACAGTACCAACAGGAGCTTGTGGTTTTAGTGAGATTAAAACTAAACCATGCAATTTTAATTATATATTATCTGTGGTATAGCTATTTGGTAACTTTTTGCCCCTCTTTCCCATCTTCAAGTGACTAACAGGTAAACTGTAAAATATTTTTCGATGTTAAGCCTTAGCTACATATATGAGAAATTATCTAATGGGGCATACATTTCAGTGCTCTGATGCTAGAGGAAGAATGGCTACTTGTTTTCAGTGGTCACTGAAGCAGGGCCTGAGTGGGAGGGGGAAAAAGATCTCAAGACAATCTTGCACTGAACTTGCATTTTACCAGTCAGCACTGAAATATCCCAAGCACTTACATTGTGTGTGAAAATAAGACTTGAGATCTAGGTTCTTTTAAGTTTTCAGGAAAGCTTTCTTGTATCTAATTTTTAAATTGCACTTTTAAATTACACCAAGAAGTGTGACCGTGTGCTCCTGTGATCAGCTTTATCAGGTTTTTCTTTTTCCTCTCTACTCACATCCAGAACTGTTTCTGAATAATTTGTGTCAAAACAGGAAAGCAGATGAGCTGAATCAATCTTAAATGTTTAATTGTCTTTCTGCTGAGATGTAAAAATGGAGAGAATAAGCAAAATTAAAATTTTAATTTTATAAAATTATTATCACTTTTAAGTATAGATGATGGAGAACTGTAAGTTGTCATGTCTATCTGTGCTTGATGTAAATGAAACAACTAAGGCTTTGCCCTCTGGGACCTTCTTGGGTATCTTCCTACATCTATAAATCTCTGAAATCTCTTCATCATTGTATTTGGCAGGTTAACAAATTATCTGATGATGTGCTGGCTATTGCTTAAATGTTAGGTTTTAGGTTTAGTAGACAAGAAGTATACTTACGGTTCCCCCCCACTGTGAATGTTTTCATGAGAAAGCACAGGGCGCTGTGGCTGAAATGAAATGATTTGAAATGTAATAAAGATTTGCACTTTCAGTTCCAGATAGTTGGACAGGGGCATGACAGAGTTGTTGGAGACTTCATATTTTACCTTGTGTAAAACAATGGCCCTCTCTGCTCCCATCCCCAACTCAGAACAAATTCTTAAGAGATGACACACAACTGAATCCTGGCACGTTTTAAGATCTGATTTTTGGAGGCCATAACAAAAACTAAACAAAACTGTGAACTTGTATCAACAATCCATTCTATTTATAGTATAGTAGAAAGTTTGGAATAGAACTCTGCTGCCTATTCACTGTGAAACAGAAATAATATTAGAAAAGTAAGATACAACCGATGAACATCATACATTCCTTGGGTGAAGTATATTTTCAGATAAACAGAAATAAAATCTCCTATACATAATGGCAAAATCTAGAATATTCATAGACAAACAACATACCAATCTACATTACACACACACAGAGTACTAAGTTGGCAGGCATAACATGCTATGCTTTAATTAATTCTGTTTCATCTCAAGCCATGCAGGCTGCTGGGAGGCAAAGAACAGAAAGAATTTTTGAAAGAATACATTTAATTTTGTGAAAATAACAGTAGCACTTTTACTTCAGCAGAAAAAGTAGTTTGTATTTCCAGTGCAAAACTTTGTGAAAGGAACTACATTCCTTCTTAATGGAGCATTACTCACCACTAATATCTAATAAACCTAGATGCAATGGAAAGAGAAATACTAAACTCCTACAGAAACCATATCCTGCTTAGAAAGACATTGACTCATACTGATTAGAATCTGGCTGGGGCCAGAAACAGTGCAGGAGCAGCTGCTTGGGAAAGCTCTTGATGTGAGCAAGAATCATATTCTCTGTTGACTGAGGATTCCCTATAATCATGCTGTAAAGACAAGTCTGGGAACCATATCTGTTTTGGGGGTGTGGATATCAAACATGGCTCATAGCACTTTCTTTCATGAATTGAGCAAACTGCAACCTGATCTTTAAGCCATGGAATTTGTCTTATTGCCCCATGGTTGTTTCTTTCCCAAGTTTGACTATTCCAGTTCATCTTCAGTTTACTCTTGAAGATGATGTAGTCTTCCAGGAGATAAGGCAGTGGTAAACAACCCACAGTCTGATGACATAAATTCAATGGACAAAACACACTGTGGTTTGTTGTTTTTGTTTTTACTTTACCTTTTCCCTCTCAGCATCTCCAGATGAAATGAAAGTAGTTATATTTCTTTTTATCAGTTTGTGCACGTGCAGAAAATATTGTGAACATTCTCCACTTTATCTTTACAGTCTATAGAGTATAACTTTAAAAGGTGCCTAAAGATGCAGGCAGGTGGATTACAGATTTTCTTAAAAATTCATATAAATGAACGCTAGGTGGGAAAGGGGTTTTCAAAGTAAAAAAACCTAAATTGTTTATACTCTTTACTGTCTTCCCTCTCTCCTTTAACACTCCTCTGCCAGTGTACGATTACCAAATAATCCAACAGTAGAGATTGCAAATTGGACAGTTCTCAGTAAACCCCTTTCAATGGCTGGCTTGTCAAGCAACAAGAGAACAGTCCACTGGGCAGAATGCTTTGTATTTAGACTGGAATCTGATCATATTTTCTCCTAATTTTACATCAGGTCTGTAACTGTGCTGAATGCCAAAGACAGTCAGAGATGCAGAGAACTCAACCAAGGTTAAGGATTTTTCCTACAATGAAAGTCAATGTCCTAAACGATGCTACAAATGATTTAATGCTTTGAACATAACACCAAGCCAGGAAGAATCTGGGTAGGTCAGTATGATCTTCTTTTCTCGTATATGCATCATAAAATGTTTTATTGCCAATTAACTACCATAGAAACAGATAGTAAAAATCAAGGTGAATGAAGATTTTCAATTCTCTTATTGCCACAGAGAAAACTTTGACAAAATTACAATCTTGGAGAACCAGGGTGAAGTAATTGGGGGACCTTGGAGCTCACTCCCTACTCAAATGCATTCCACAATAATATCCTAGCTGATATCATAAAATGTTTTATTGCCAATTAACTACCATAGAAACAGATAGTAAAAATCAAGGTGAATGAAGATTTTCAATTCTCTTATTGCCACAGAGAAAACTTTGACAAAATTACAATCTTGGAGAACCAGGGTGAAGTAATTGGGGGACCTTGGAGCTCACTCCCTACTCAAATGCATTCCACAATAATATCCTAGCTGATATCCAGAAGCTTTTGTTTTCTTTCTCCCTAAGCTGTAATTCCCACATACAGTGACATTGACTAGACTGTTGCAAAGATTTCCAGTTTTCAACTACAACTCAGTTTACTAGACTATCTTGTTTCCTGGGAAATATGCAGGACCTAATCCCCAAAACAATAAAAATGTGCAATCTAGTCAACAGTCCCAGTTGCATGCCTTATTTTCATGCATGATTGATACACACTTGCATATAACAGTTCTGTACAGTACACTATGCAAATTAGCTGTACAATTTATGATCTTTTAGTTTTGGAATTAAAGTCATAAAGACACTACACATTGACCAATACATTCCTCTTAATATATTGGTTACATGTACGTGCAAAATTAAAATAGGGCTTAATCCCTTTTGTATGGATCTCAGTCCTAGTTTGACTCTGGGATGGTGTTGGTGTGCTACTACAGGAATCCTGGCCTTCCTATGACTGAACTTTTTGCATTGATGAACAAAGCACTGTACATGGTAGTAAACAGAGGCTTGCCAAAAAGCCAAGCTTTTGAAAGTTACACAAATCTGCATATCTTAAATTAAAATCCAAATTTTAAAAAGGGACCTGCCATAAAGACAATTGCCTAAAAGCAGCAGCAACAGCATGGAAAACAGGTCATCCTGTTAACAGTTTTAAGGGCCAAATGTTAAGAAACCACTGCAAAGAACAATTTAGTCCTTAACTGGAAGCAAAGCATAACCCATAAATTCTCATTCTCATATAGTTTAGGTTGTGGGGTTTTTTGTTTGGTTTTGTTTGTTTGTTTGTTTTTTGGTTTCCCCCTCCCCCCAATGTAGATCACCTTTTTAAACAAAATCCATGAAATTCTAAACAACCTGACCTCCTGGCTAGGTAAATACATTAAAATTATGTTACATATAGGAAAAGGCTAAAGAGTATGAAAATCTGCAATAACAGTGTTTGGATAAAGAGGACAGTATCGGGTGAACATACAGCATCAAGAGAGCATTTTGAAAAGGACATGGATTCAAACCCAATAATTCAGTCTGCATACATGCAAAAGCCTGTATTCATGCAATCAAGTATAAATTTTTGACTCTCAGAAGCTGTAATTTTAATAAACTAGAAATGCTTTGAAAGAGAGGAGTAATTTTAATAAAACCTGACTAAATATAAAGAGCTTTGATCTCTTACATCTTGTAGCACTGGAAATACCACACAGTACTGCAGAGATACAATACACTAATGGATGTATATTACAAGTTTGGGCACACAGAGACCTGTTGGCTTTATTCAGACATAGCACAGAAGCACAACAGGAAGAAAACATGGCATACTGCTACTATTGAGACACTTGGGCAAAAGCAAAATACTGAAAGACTACACACTGAGCTCCTTGCCCATGGAAATGGTGTTACTGCACACTGGGCATCCAGTACCATACCCTGTGTGAATAGCTGTGACCTCTGACAGGTGAGCTGCAGGCACTCTTAGTCATCAATGGGCTACGAGGAGGTTTACCCATAACAAATATCTCTCTCTTTAAATTAGCCTAGAAGAACCACAAAAACTTTGTCAAGTGAGAGTTTAAGAATGAAGCACCACAGGACTTTTGTTGCTTCTTTCGTACATGCAAACCAGACATGCTTTACTTGATAACAAAAAGTAATTGTTACAGGTAGAAATAACGGTATTATTAGTATATGGTATTTTCATTGTTGCCACTCTATCTTTTTTCCAAGGGTTTGCTGCTCTGGCACATGCCCTTACATGTTACAATTAAAAGATTAATCACACACAGCATATGCAGTTGGAATAGCTATTACATGTGTACCCCCTGAAGTAGCTCAGTTAATAACACAGAAAAGTTCAACAGCATAGAGCAGAAATACTGTCTTAGAAATACCAATGACAAATGTTGTAACTCGTTGCCCTTAAATCTGCATTTGGAAAGCAAGTAAAAACTTGGTGGAGAGCAAAGAAAAATCCTTATTTTGTCACTATAAATCAACTAAATCAGTTCTTGGGGAGGTGTGTGTGCAGCATAGGTGAATTCTCAGGGGCAGAGGTGAGTCAGGGAGAATATGCAAAGAGTGGAGTGCTGACATTAGAAACGTTTTCTGTGGTATTTGTGACTGCCAGTAAAAAGTGGCAAGAGAGAAAACCAGCCCCCTCTTAGGAGTGAGCTGAACAGCAACAACAACAAAGGATACCAGGAGAGGTCAAGGAGGCAGAAAAATCTCAGCATTTCTCCTTGGAAAGTGTCTTCAGAGTTCTTTGGAGGACACATCCCTCCCACCAACATGGAGCAAAGTGACACTTCCCACTCATAGCTCTTTGTATTCTATTGCTTAAATCCCTGGTCATGCTTTAGATTTGAGCCACATTCCAAATATACATATATATATATATATATGCACATATACATATGTATGCTTTTTTACATCAACAAAAATTATCAAAGTAACAGTATACAGTTTCAAGAACTCTCTGAAGAACCATCCTTCACTTATGATATTTGAGTCCTTGAAATGTCTCATGTTCTTTCTGCTGTGGTAGTTGAGAGCAGACCTTAATCATGTACAACATGCACAAAGAGAAGAGGATAGGAATTGTCCTTCCTCCTCAAGCACAGCCTCTGGACCAACTAGCAAGAAATGATGACAGCCAAACCCTGGTTACACTTATTTTCATGCAACTCTATATCCCAGCAATGTAGTCAGTTTTGACTTCTCTAAAAAGCTTGCTCAGCCTTGGGAGGAAATAAAGATTT